AACAACAACAACAACAACAACAACAACAACAACAACGAACAACAACAACGAACAACAACAACGAACAACAACAACGAACAACAACAACGAACAACGACAACGAACAACGACAACAACAACAACAACAACAACAACAACAACAACAACAACAACAACAACAACAACAACAACAACAACCAACAACAACAACAACAACCAACAACCAACAACCAACAACCAACAACCAACAACCAACAACCAACAACCAACAACCAACAACCAACAACAACAACAAGCAACAACAACAACAACAACAACATTAACAACAACAACAACAACAACAACAACAACAACAACAACAACAACAACAACAACAACAACAACAACAACAACAACACACAACAACAACAACAACAACAACAACAACAACAACAAGAACAAGAACAAGAACACCATCAACAGCAGCAGCAGCAGCAACAACAACAACAACAACAACACGAACACAAACAATACCAACACTAACAACTCGACCAACAACACCAACACCACCAACAAACCCAACCACACCAACAACACTAACAACACTAACAACACTAAAAACACCAAAAATACTACCACCACTAACAACACCAATAACACCAATACCAATAACACCAACAACACCAACACCACCAGCACCACCAACACCACCAACACCACAACCACCACCAATCCCAACCACATCGCCGAAGCCTTTCAGTCGCTTTTACCAGACTCCCCTTCATATTTTTGGAAAGAAAATGGCCGCGTCGCTTTTACCAGACTCCATTTTATGTATTTTTCCCTCCCCTCTCCCCTTCATTTTTTCTTCGGTTCCTTTCTTGCTTACCTACCTTTCGTGTTCCCCCTCTCAAATATTTTATATGAATGAAAGAAATAATAAAAATTATATTATCGGAAAGGAAAATAATAATGAAAGGGGAAAAAAATGATTTCCAATAGGGTAGCCCGAGGTCAACAATATGATGACAATGGAACGAATAAAATATTAATAAAAAAGAATTCGGCAAGGAATACATTTGTCCGATTTCCCTCCCCCCCACAATATATCTCAGACATTTGTCCGATTCCTCCCCCCCACAATATATCTCAGATATTATCGAAAATTATTAATATAATTTGACACCGCAAGGATTAAGAATATCTGTTTTATATCTGTTTTATAATAATCAGACCAAAAGGATAACTATCGACGAAATATTGGAAAAGGATGATAACGATACGAACTCAGAATATCTGGAAAAAATAACTCTGCCGCGAAAAATTTCGGATAATTATGCAGAATTCTTGGAAAAAATAATTGGAAAGGACAAAAATATTCCTGTTTACGGAAAGCAGCGGCGCGTGATGTGACCTTGAGGAAATAGGAAATTTCCGTTTCCCAGATATCAATATATTTATTTTTTATATATTTTTTTACAAAATCAATACGATATATATATATATATATCTTAGATAATAATTATATATATATTTTAAATTAATAAAATGATATTAATTATATTTTAAATATAATTAATTTATTAATATTTATTAATTTAATTTTCAAAATATAATTTATAAATATATTTAATAATTTAATGCCTCAAATATGAGCAGCCTTTGAGGAAGATTTTGGATCCCCCCAAAAGGGTATCTGAAATAATTTTCCGGGGGGGGGACTCTGGGAATCAATTTGATAATATTAGATCTTTGACAATATAATTTGGGAGGATTCAGGAATCTAATATTGGAAAATTAAATTTATAATATTCGATTTATTTAATTTATTTATTTTTTCTAATATCAAAATAAAATAAATAAATTCTATCCAAGGAAAACCCCCAATTTCGCAAATTCAATTAACCACCTATTTATTTTATTCCCACATTGAACCCTTCTTTATATTTCTAATTCTTCCAATTGATAACCAAATCCAGATTATTATATTCAGGAAATTTCAAATTGATGAAATTAATTTTTCATTGATCCCGATTTCTTTTCGATTATAATTTGAAAATTAAGATTTCATTTGATTATTTATCTTAATTTAAAAATTTGATTCAAGGGAATTATTCATTATTTATTTCCCTGATATTTTTTTTATATTTAAATTATTTTTTAGATATAATTATTAGGAAAAATATTATAATTTAATAATTCAAAATATTTTTTCTAATTATATATTAAAATAATTTAATATATATACCCCAGCATTCCAAAGGCTAAACTTTGTATATGCTTTCCATGAAAAGCTATACTTTACACCATGACCCCCAGACACGGCTGGACACGGCGTTGACACGCTCACCAGCCCTTTTTCCACGTCGACATCAGCTGATCAAGTTATATCAAGTTCGCGATCTTGAAGAGGTAGTAAGCCTAGAATGCAAGCAGAAAACAACAATATACCGTATACATACTAAAACTAATTGTAAGAAACTTTGACAAACTAGTCAGAGGATGGACAAAACAGAATGCTGAATGCTCAAGGGCTCATGAAATTTGAAACTAAACTGAACAAACCATATGATAAGAACCTGGAACTACACGCGGTGACGACAGAAGCAATTGCAATCAAGAAACTGTTTCACACGCCACTTCATACTGAGCATCCTGCAGATGCAGAAAGACCAGAGTAATCAAGAGTATAGAAAAAAAACAAAGCTTAAAAGCAACATAAGGAAAGCAGTCAAACCAAGAAACCTGCTAGTTCTAATGATGTTGCGGGGCTGCAGCAGCCGTATGTTTTCTGGCCTCAACGAGCCGAGTTGAAGGCACCATTTGCGTTGCTTGGCTTTGAGCTGGTGGCCACGCAACGAAGCTCCTGAATGAGCAGCTGCACACCCTACCATCAACCTTGGGAACCCTGGTCCATCGTGCAATATGCATGCATGCATGTACTATATATGTACGACTGTTGATTAGTCCAAAGCTCGCTTCAGCCATTGCATTGAATCTTCATCGTGAAAGCAATGTTCGTGGCGAACATTGGCGCCTTAAAGTGAAGCGGCCCACATGTTAGGTCGGACCACCACAACTGAAGAGATTTGTCAGTATGGTTGCCCTCCAAGCTTACGCGGTGTTTGACTTGACAAGTTGGAACTCAAACATCCCAAGCCGTGTCACGTGTTTCGCGCATTTGCTTCAGCATGTGCCCGAGCGCCTGAGTGAATGGCCAGGGCCGCATTGTAATCTCAACAAAACGGTGTGGCACAAACATCATTTGAAATGAAAAAATCCGAAATCTAAGTACAACACGTGCAGTTTGGGACGTATGATGAAGTAATTTTTTCCATTCCTGCCGTGCAAACGCAGAAACTTAAAATTGCAAACCTCACGCTGAGAAATCTGAAAGGTTGAAACAGAAAAGCAAAAGCACCAGCCCACCCCCTAACATCCCCCAACCTTTGCAAGATTTCCGCGAGTTTCAGATAGCCACGCGCATACACGAGCCCCTCGCGGTTGACCATGTACGCTTGCGTAGCTGTCCTGAGCAAGCTGATCATGCACATTAAGATATTGTGCATGTGACACTGCAATGGTCTCATCGCAGCGCAAAAGCATATATGGGAAAACAATGCAAACATAAAAATCTTTTTGTGAAATATTGCTGCGTTTGATATATCACCCAAGTATCAAGTACCTGCCACTTCGCTCCAAGATACCAAAAAATCTAGCCAATGCGTTCCTTAGATCTTTTGTCAAAACTGTCTAACCTTTGAACCCTTAATTTACTTTAAACATTGCCCATGTTTTAGAAACAGCGTCCAGCACATCATGCAGTGAACATCGTAAGTCCGCAAAATTCAACTTGTTTAATCAGCCTAGCGTTTGCAAACTCCAGTGTAAGTCTTGTATCAGCGAGTATCACAGTCACGCAAACCCAACGGGTTTCAAGGTCCCCTCTCAACAGACCCCGGGTAGCAAGCACAAGCTCATGAGAAAGCCATTCAGTGATCACTCGTCCGCAGTAAGCTTTGGCGGTCATCATCGGTTCATCCAAAGATTTCAGCACCTTGGCCGGCAGGTCATAAAGTAACCTAGATGTTTGGGTGTAAAACGCACGTGCACACACACACACACATTGACACACACACACACACATACACCATATCGGGACTTATGAGCGTTGAGAACTATCAGGTAGATAAAAAATACCAAATTGAAATTGCAGTGACGAACTTGACCGTGAAGGGAGGCTGGCTGCAGGTGATGCGCATAGATTTGCAAAAACCTCTGAACCGAGCATAAACTATGTCCAGAATGTCTTGAAGGTTCTCATTTTGATAGCTTGCAAAATAGGATTTCTCAATCAGCATCATCCTGAGACGAGAAAAAATCCAACAAATTGATGAATATCATCAAAAAACAATCAAAACTAAAGCGATGAAAACAGTCACATACACCAAGTGAAACCAGAAAAAATACATTGGACAACAAAAGAAAGGTAACATGTTTTGGAACCAATCTTTATCACATAGCATCAAAGCCCCACCGTTTGTAGAATAGCAAAGTCCCAAGTTGAGGGTGTGCATGCTGCACCACTTGATCAGATCTTGGTGGAAGTACTTGAGGAACACCAAGGGACCTTGGCCAAGCAAAGGCAGGTGACGAGGCCATTGTTTGAATATATTTGAAAAAATGTGATATTGCTGGATACTGCAACTGAACCCCCCCTCGCAAACGCGAAAACAAACAAAACATAAATTGTAACCATGGTTTTTGCCATGTGACATGGACTGGGCGGGCACTGTTCCGCAATGAAGTCTGCAACGTTGGCGTATTCTGTTTGCCAACATGGTGAATTTTCTTCAATGTTGTAGTACAAAGACTGAGTAGGTCCAGTTCCGTAAGCCCTGCATTTGAAACACACTGGCATGTTCGACCCAGCTTTCCAGCTGCTATTGAAACGAAATATCATCTTATGCCAGGCCCAGTCCCCTCTGATTTCCGTCACTTGGAAACACCTGTGAGAATTACAGACCCAGTCTCCTGCCCTCGCTGCCCCCTGCACGGACAAGGGTGCACCGTTGAATCCGTGTCTAGGATATTTCCCATTGAAGAGCTGGTTTAGATTCCAAACCAAGTACATGTAGACACAGTCCAGCGTGTGATGTTTGTAAAGAAGTTCTTCTTGGCAAGCAAAAAGTAACCACCGACTGCAGCGACAGCTTCGCGGCCTAAATAGCGGACAAGACAAAAAGATGCCCACCATTTTTTCAACACCTTGATAGGTTGATCTCACTTTCACGCTGTCACCGTACAGCCCAAGCGGCACAGTTTCTTCAGTCGCCTGTGAATGGAGCGCCCACTTGGCGCCAAATTGGCGGTGATGCCGCCAGTACTGCTGAACATCCTTTTCCGGAATAGAGATCCCAATGTCATTCCACAAATATGATATCAGGGAGATAGGATCCACCACTTCCAGGTTTACCATTTCATATCCAGATCTTTCTTTCCGAGATGTCAACGGTGCCCTGATGATAAATTTGTCCTCAAAAAGAGCCAAACATGAACAACAAAAATGGCGCCACTGGCATTTCCAGCAAACTTGGTTGAATAGGATACTGAAAATGAAACACAAAAAGTGTACCGGACAGTCAAGGAACTACTGGTATGCGTATGAACCGCCAAAAGTCTCTGGATACATTCTTGCCAGAATTGTTTGCCATTTCATAAGTAAATTGATGGCAGCTTGCAGCGCCAGATTCCTTGGCCATAGTTTTTGGTCGAACCAAAGCTTTGCGCGCAATTAGCTGGATGACTGGAATGCTGTAATACTAAATGCAATCTTGGTGTAAACATACGAATGCATGTGCGATATCACTACTGTTCCATCTTAACATGCTGACGAGTAGCTTTGACATGAGCTTTGACAGTCTTGATCGCTTGCTCCACGCTAGTAACCTGACACAGCGAGCTTTGGATTGTTAACTTGATACGTACACATGCAGTGTATACTAGATACACCAACACGACCATGGGACACGTTGCAGTTTCATTTGGACCCCTGCATATATTATAATATTATATATAATAGATTATATAATATATATTATTGTTTATATTTTATAATATATATGTTATATAAAAATTACATATTATATCATATTATATTTGATATGATATATAATATATAATATATTATATATTTATTTTATATTTAAAATATATTATTATATATATTATAATATATGATACATTATATTCTATATACTATATTTTTTATATTAATAATTATAAATCCGTCATCTTGGTTCTATGTGGATCAAGGATATTCCAAATGGACATGATAGCTGAACTATAAGCTACCTGATGGCTATTGAATGGTGCATCAAATGGTTAGAGCAGGGAAATAACCAGGGTGTTCATGTTAACAACATCTAAGTACAGGAAGAAGTCATGGTGGTATATAATTGGATACCATTGATACATTTGGCATCAATCCCAAAACAAAGACGGTCATATATATGTAGTGTAATTGGATACCATTGATCCAATTGGCATCAATCCCAAAACAAAGAAGGTCACATGTAGTGTACCTGGATACCATTTATACAATTGGCATCAATCCCAAAAACAAAGATGTATATCATAATATATAAATAATATATAAACAATATAAAATAAATATTATTATATAATACATGATCTATCATATAAAACATATGATAAAAAATATAATGATGGTAACGCTTAAATCCAAAGCGCTCCACTGGCGACTTTGTCAATCTCGTTCTGGGCAACCCAGGCGTTGAACTCACCTGCGAGGGCGTGGAGTACAAGGCGCATGGGTTGGAAATTCCATGACGGTGGCGCCAGATGGCCCCTTTGGATATCAAACTTAATCCTCACTGGAAAAATCAATGCAACATACAATGGTTTTGATGTCTTTTAAATTTCCCAAAAAACGGAAGATGAACATGGAGCATTTTGTCTCCTGGCGAGCACTCATTCGATGTCTTGCTCACATCGTTGGATCTATGGTGTTGGGTGGGCCATGAGCACAGTGACGAAGCACCCAAAATTGATTGCCATAGGGCTATATTGATTCCTACATACGATCAGATCAGCTTACCATATATTATATCTTAATTTTAGGCCCCCAAACCCAATCACCGGCCAGCGATGGCTGCGCAATAAAAGCCCCAATAGTGCGCACTGGGCGCTGGAAGTTTGGTGGGCACTGCACCGTGTGAAAAGCAGGGTGCATGCAATATTGCCCGTTTCCATTGATCGAGTCATTTTCATCAAAACAAATTTTACTAGTTGGATGGATCATTCAAACCCAATGATTTTGGATTTCATAAGTGATTCATTTTTTGGCAATGCACCCATGCACACGAGTGATCATTATTGTGCCATTTGACCCCAACCCTATAGACTTTGAACATCACCATCTAAGATTCTTTGATCATACCAGATCAAACCTGTCGGGTCTTCCTAACTTTGTAGTCCTTCACAGCGGCTGCCGCAGTCTCTGCGATAGCAGGCATCTGATCCACCTGGCAAACCCATGTATCTATGCAGGGCCATATGTAACATCTGAACCTCTTAATCTAAATTGACAACCGTGGTGGTTGTTGTTGTTGGACCAGTGTGGCATGGTTACACATGATGGCTATTATATATGCTGTGATGTTACATATGCAAATGAATGGTTAGTCCCAAGACCCTCACCTGATCACTGGCCAATGCAGTCTCCAACATGTCACGCTGGTTGGACAATTTGCCCTTGTCCGCTGTCAGGCCCTCTTCGACTGCCTTCTTCAGCCCAGGAGACCTTGGATGCGCATCTGAGACTAGCCAAACATGATGGTGGTTTTGGTGAGGATCTCAAGTATGATAACGATAGCATCAAAACATAATAACCCATGTTATGTCACAATACCTATGCCAAAGCATACATGATTGTTTGTCATCCATCATCTTTAACAGTATTGGGGTACCATGTGTATCATGGGGCGTTGCAAGGTGGCAGGTCAGAACCACGGTTCCTGCAGGAACACAGTAGTATGATACTAGCTAAGGTATCCTGATCGTAAATCTTGACATTGTGATCATGGTCGGAAACTATGATGGTGAAATGACGTGATGGGTGGAGTAAATTATCAGTGAATTGATCATATTTGATCTGCTTTGGACTTATTTTAAACCGACTATTTGAGAAACTATACGGATCTAGATATTACAAATGGATCCTGGCAACTAATTGGAATGCATGGATCAACCAAAGAATTCGAACCCTGGATTTAACATTGATAGCTACAGGAAAACTAGGTTTACCGATTTATACTGGCATTATATTTGAAAGATGGTTGCGCTGGTTGCACATTCAATGGGTGGATGACTAGTGACCAGTAAGCATGACACTCCAGCAGGGGCATGCACCAATCTCAAGGTGGGTGTTCAGTGTTCAGTCCCATCCAAGGTTCCGGCAAAGCGGCAGCATTGGCAAGACGTTTCGAAACGTCCTGAAGACACTGGGTCAAAGCTGCAATCTCCTGGCCGGCCAACAGGCAAGATCAATGGGATTGTGTGGTAAGGAGCTGGGAAGTAGACTGGCATCACATGTCGATATTTTTTACACTTGGATTTTGGTTGGATTTTTTACTCTTAGACGGTTGACAGTATGAATTTTGAAAACCATCGTTATAATACAGAGGCTATCATGTAATCTGATCTCAATGGAAACATCTGGTGGTCATGGCAATCGTGCCAATATGTGTCGCAAATCATGAAGCTTGGGATGACAGGTGGACACGCGCAGTTACAGTTGAAGGAAGTGGCAATTTGTGGTCATAATGCTAATCATGATGAGGCTGTACAAGACATGATTACTCGAATGTATTCAAGTTATAAGACTCTTGTGAATGAACTTACAAAACATCAAAATACATCAAAACACTCAAATCATAGGCGCAACACAACAGAAACATGTTGAAGCATGTCAATATACTATTGTGTAATATATATGGGAGGAGTGATGGCCCCCGCTTAAAATCCCACCCTTAGCTCCTTTCTCACCAAGGACCTTTTCTTTTCCTTTTCCTTTTCTTGCTCGCGCTTGGCTTCCTTTTCTTCTTTCTCCTTCCTTTGCTTTTCTTCCTTAATTTCTTCTTTGCGTCTCTTCTCATCCTCCTTCTCCTGCTTCTTCCTATCCTTTTCATCTTGCCTAGCCTTATCCTTTTCCATTTTTTTCTTCTCTGCCTCTGACATTGCTGGTCGTGAAGGCGACCCGTCATCTCCCCTATCCTTTCTCTTGCCATTCTTCTTGTCTTTTTTTGATTTCTTGGTCTTCTTGTTGCTGCTGCTGCTGCTCGAGACTGTGTTCGCAGACTTGGAGCTGGACGAACTGGAACTTGATGACGAAGACTGTTTGCCTTTCTTTTTGGACTTTGACGACTTTCCCTTTGTCTTCTTCTTCTTCTTTTGTGTGTCTTTCTTCTTGGCATGTGAGTGGCCGGCTTCATCACTCGACGCATCTTCCATTTGGAAAAGGTTGGTCAAAATCTCATCATGATCCTCTGTCTCAGTGCTGAAATCAAAGATGAGATATTGCCACATATCTTGCCTGCCTGGAAGGTCTGGGTGCTCACGCACCGTTGTTGCTCGTAGCTGCTCGTTCTCCAACTTGTTTCTGCAGATGTCTTTGGCTATCTCAGGTGAGTTGTACTTTGCGCTGATTTCACTCTCGGTCAACCATCGCCGAGAACCTCTCACCCTGTGCCTGTCTTTTGTCCTCATCTCAATCACCAGTTTGCTTTTTTTCCAATCCTCGCCACTGGCTGCCCATTCCTCAAATAGAACGGCCAGTTTTTCGTTCTTTTTGGATCCTGGGATTCAGCACAGTGATGGGTGAGTGGGTCATCACGTCGTTATACATGATATATCATGATGATATATGATCAACACAGTAAATGCACATGTCTCATAATATTACGAGATGCACATGTAATACGAAACTCTCATATAATATATCGAAGCATAGAGTATAAGGAATGAAATAAGGAATGAACAATGAATGATAAATGATTATAAGTGAACGCTACATAAAAAGGAAAAAAACAGGGTGAGTGGTGTGTGTCTGTGTGTTACCGATGATGCCATGAATGCTAATATATACTAATTTCAAAAAAGAACATGTTCATGATCAACAATTGGACATGTATGTTGTTTGCATAGTGTCCTTCACGGGCACGCCGGGCAAGTTCCTTCACAACTTGAGGTGAATTCGGGCCTGGGTAGGCCAGCACAAATGACTATGTAGTTTCCATATTTGTAGTTATTTTGGTCCCAAGATAGATTGCAAACACAAAATACTATACCCATAATGCAACATAGGGAATGCCCATCTAATTGCAGTGCTGGACAGACAAAGTAGATATCACGAAACCATTAGTAAAGTCATGTGTGTTCTTGTTGAGGGTCTGGCTCTCCAGGCTTCTGTAGAACTTCTGCTTCCGCGCATGTCGAACAGGATCTCTGCCCTTTTTGGCTGGTCTAGACTCAATGTCATTTGGCGTTTTGCTCTGTGGAGGTTGGGCAGGTTCAGGCTTTCCAGGAGCTTGGGGTGTCTGCTGAAGCTGTTCTTGGGTCGCTGTTCTGTTCAGCATATCATGCACTAGCTTGTCGGCAACCGCTGGGGGAGGCAGGTTGGATCTTGCTGGTGTGGCCACGGGCACAATTGGTTGCTGAGACTCTACTGCTTCATGTGGCTCTTGCTTCACCTCAGGTGCCTTGTGTTGCTGCACGGGCTCAAGCTTCTTCTGTGCGGCTTGTTGTTGCTGTTGTTTGGGTGCCCCCCCAGGCTGTGCCACATGTTTCTGCTGTTCTTGATTTTGCTCTTGCTGCTGCTTCTGCTTTTCATCCTGTCCCTGTTGCGCAGTTACACTCGTGTTCACTTCTGCTTCCCTGACACGTGCTTCCTTCACTCGCCTCTTGTTCTTTGAACCCTTCTTGCCTTTCTTGTTGTTGGTCTTTTTTGCACGACCTTTCTTTTGCTTTTTTTGCTTCTTGCTTGTGATCTTCTTCTTAACTTCTGCAGGGTTGCTTGAAAAGATTGGCGAGGAACTTACCCTACGCAGCTTGCTTGGCTGCTCAGGGGTGCTTCCGCTTCCCAAGAGGTCAGTTGTTTGCGAACCTAAGGGTGCATTTTTCTTGCGTTGCTGGTATTGCTGGATCTCTGCAAGCCTGATGGCGTTATTTTCAGCAGCCATCCTTTGGGCTTCACCATCACTCCCTGGGATTGTGGTGGCAGCAGAACTTGCAGGTGATTGATCTCCTTTGCTTTCTTTGACTCCTCCCAGATGACGTGTGTCACACTATCACGTACCCATGCGCATGCTGTGGCATGTCTGTAAGTGTGTAATAATTTAGATATTACATGTGATATATGTAAGTGCCAAATATGCATCACGCAAATTACATGCATAAGGTAGTTTGGGATGGTCCAAACCCATTACATTAATTAAAGTAGTATAATACATACAAGTATGACATGGTACATCGCATCATCAACATAAAAGGAAAAAATCTTATATGCCGGAGGCTCATGGTCAAGGGACTCAAATGTTGATCATCCCTGAAGATGTATGGAATTACAACCAGCCAGTGTCAACATAAGATCGTAAACAAGCTTCCAGAAAACATGATGAATTCAGGGTTTAAACAATTTTCGGTTGCCACCGCAACTTGTACTAAGTCGTTAATCGATGATTGCATTAGCCTTCATTGTTTGCTGAGTCTTAAGACATTGGGGTTGAGTCTTTCTAGCTAGCCCTGCAACAACCATCAAAACAAGTACAATGTACATAACAGAAATTTTGGGTATTGAATGGAAACCAGGCAAGAAATCACTAATACAAACTGTTCGCTGCTAAGTTGGCATGTATCATCATGATGTTTGGTACCCACAAAAACTACCCGCAAAAGTGTGTTTGTGGGTGGTGGTGTTTCATTATGCCCCTCACCGGTCCCAAACCTGCAGCTGCATCCAAAGCAGGCCCAAGCGATCGACGGGCTCTTTCAGCACGTGCCCTGGCTGCGGCTAACGCACTGGCAGCCTCGCTTTAGGGCTCCATGATTGGTGGACTGACAGGTGAATAACCAATGGTTCTTGATTTTCCTGTGACATGACAAAATGGTTCATATGTTTTTTATATTTCTTTCGTAGTTCCAAAATCATGTCGGAAAAAATAGGCAATTGCCAAAATGATCCAAAATGATCTGGAGCCAAAGCAAGGGAGGTCGACCAAAAATGATGCTGTTGCACCGTGCTGGGTGTTTTGTTTGGAAAAAATAAATCAGTAGCAATTTACCGAAAATCTGGTGAATTTGTGGGGGTACCGGGACCACGCTAAAGTATAGCCTTTCCACGCTAAAGTATAGCCTTTCCACGCTAAAGTATAGCCTTTCCACGGTTTTGACACGGTCGTGACACGGTCCCAGGCTATACACAACGTGTTGATTTTCATTTGAACCCCGCTTTGCTCAACGTGAAACGAGTAAAATGAATTTGAATTTGGTCCATGGCACATATGAAACCACACTGGATGAACCAATTCATCATTCATGGACTATGTACTGTATTTCGAAAGTTGTCAACTGTTTTTTGAAACATGGCTTTCTGATTGGTCATGAACTTGTGTGGTTCACGTGACAGGGTGACTGATGCCGTTTCTGTGAACACCAGTTCTTCATGAATTTGATGGCAAAATTTAATTATGGATCAAGGCCACCATCAAATACCGGGGTGAAAGCACCACGGTCCCTCTCACTGCGCAAGAAGGCCCGAATTGGCTCCAAGTCAGCCATTTGCCAATGGCGATCATTCCTGCGTGCCTTGGCTAAGGGATCATGGACAATGGAATGGGAAGCAGGTAAATTTATATACATACCAAATGATAGCCCGGAAACAAATAAAGCTGTAAAACAATTGTGACATCAATCTAATATGATTGCAATTCCATACAGTAACAGTCAGAGCAGTTCAGTACTTAATGGAATTGGGTCACTTCGATGATCAGCAACCGAATGTGGGCCCTTGCCGCAGTGGGATACGGGTCGTCATCATAGATCATTTTGCGAAGGTATCCAGGGTTCTCTTCCTAGGATGGGTTTAGCCCGACAAGCTGGGGCCAATCAATTTCAACAGAAATGAACATCCAACGATGACATCGCAACATACTCTCAAAAGCGACTGGTCAAAAGAATTATGATACCTAATCAATTGATGCAGCTTGGAAACATTGAACTTGAGGTGAAGCTTTCGCACCCGCTTACCATATTTTTTAGGATACACCTGCGTACTCTTGAGCGACTTCAGCCCTGTCCTTGGATTCCACGTGGTTGGACTATCACCTAAATTATATAATTTGTGTCCATGATTTGAATCTGAATCCCAAGCTAAGATTTACAGTATGAATTTAAACGTGCAAAAGGGCAAGCAATGTAAATTTCAGATACATGGCATGTTGCTGAATGGCAACCAAATTCGTTCGAACCAGGTATCAGCTTACCGACGAATAAGAAACATAGAATTTGTTTGGTGATCATTAATTGCATGAAGAGATTCACTCGTTTGCGTCCATCAGCATCAACATGTTGATGGACAATCTTAAGTTTCATTTTGAGAAGCCGCTGTTTGATCTTCTCCCGTTTGGCCTTGCTAAGTTTCCGGTACAGACCCGCAGCAAACGGCCTCAGATCGCATGTTCCAGCTTGGCAGGAACTTTGCACATTACCACTTGGTGCTGGGGAAGCTGTCGATGGTATCATCATGGTCGACATTTTGAG